ACACTAAAAAATGACATATTTGACCCCAAAATGACCTTTAGGGTGACCTTAACGTCAAATTACTGAAGTAAGATCAGAATCAGATTCCCAGACCTTGAAAACCCCTAAAAAGTGGTATTATTTATGATTATAGCTCTTTTGGATGTTTAACTAGATTGCCCCCCAACCCGGGTGGCGGCCATATTTGAATTTGCCAATATGGCAGCCCCGGGGGGCGCCCATTCCGGCGCCCGCCAGAAATCGAAAAAGTATGGTATGGGCAACATCTGGGCCAAATTTGATGCTTTTGGAAGAATGTGAACCAAAATATCCCTAACACCCCTGACTATTAGCCAAATCGGAAAGTCCCCGCTGCCATATTGAGATCAGATAAGAGAGGGTATATACAGCCATTTTATAACATGGGTAAGATAGGAATATTCTAGGTTTTTGATCTATTCAATTCTCTTCACTAACATCGCACTTCAATTCACAGTAGCATTTCTGTTTACATAAACATTTACAAATATGATTGCGGTCGTTTGGGATATTTTGCAATGTTTGCAAAAACTAAAAACACACGATTGTTTACATTAATCATGTACTTTCCTAAGCGCGCCTCGGCCATTTTATACTCTCTTTCTCTGGGACCTACATAGCACAGCTAGACTTTCCGATCTCACTTATTAGAGTATATAACACGACGTCAGTTATCGACAGAGAGCAAGACTCTATCATGTTGATAACGAGCATGAAGCTTGAGGATAACTTTAATATGAGACCAAGGTAGCTCACAAGTCATAATGATTCTATCTAATCTATTCTACCCTCTCCTGCTTTTCTCTAATCGATTCTTCCCTTTCCTACTTTTCTCTATTATCGTCCTCCCTCTCCTTCTTCTCCCTAATCTATTTTTCTTTCTCCTGCTTCTCTCCAATCTATTCTTCCTTTTCCAGATTATCTAATATATTCTTCTCTTTCCTTCTTCTCCCTAATCTATTTTTCTTCCTCCTGCTTCTCTCCAATCTATTCTACCTTCTCCTGATTCTCTAATATATTTTTCCCTTTCCTTCTTCTCTCTAATCTATTCTTCCTTCTCCTGATTCTCTAATATATTCTTTTTTTCCTTCTTCTCTCTAATCTATTTTTCTTCCTCCTGCTTCTCTCCAATCTATTCTTCCTTCTCCTGATTCTCTAATATATTCTTTTTTTCCTTCTTCTCTCTAATCTATTTTTCTTCCTCCTGCTTCTCTCCAATCTATTCTTCCTTCTCCTGATTCTCTAATATATTCTTCCTTTTCCTTCTTCTCTCTAATCTATTCTTCCTTCTCCTGATTCTCTAATATATTCTTCTTTTTCCTTCTTCTCTCTAATCTATTCTTCCTTCTCCTGATTCTCTAATATATTCTTCTTTTTCCTTCTTCTCTCTAATCTATTCTTCCTTCTCCTGATTCTCTAATATATTCTTCCGTTTCCTGCTTCTCTTCAATCTATTCTTCCCTCTCCTGCTTACAGTTTAACCAATTGTTTTCTCTCTTGCTTCCTCTCTAATCCATTCTTCCCCCTCCGTTG